AAATAGGTAAGGTGGCAGTACTTGTTTACTTTTCTTTAAATGCTCTTTACGTTACAACAAAAACGAACACGAGCAATCGCGCGCGAGAAAACGTTAGTATAGATAAATTCAAACAGGTAATCGGGCTCGATAGCGCGTACAGGCTTTCCCTCGCGCAATCCTGTACGCTCCATCACGCGCTCTCGCGATAGAGTGACTGTGTAAAGGGGGCTAATGTCACAGTCACAAACAGACTCATCAGCGGTGGTTTTAGATGAATGAGATCCTTTTTGCGTACGTTACGGCAGACACAACAATTTGTCAAATGGTATTGTCTATTTATTACACAAAATGCTGACCTTATTAGTTTATTTTTGTATTTTGTGCCGTGGCATTGCATTAAAAGCTTTCTATTATATTCTACCTTTTTTATTTTTTCTTACGTATGTATTAATCATATTTATGTTAAAACAATAAGTTCTTGAACTTTAGTTGATATACTTATATTAATTATTTGTATGTATTTGCTTACTTTTATATATTGCTTGATAAGTTTAACAAATAAATACAAATACAAAATAATTTATTTCTCCACAAAAAGATACAGCGTACGTAACTATGAGGCACTTAAATATTAGTCACATTTGTGGGAGACTTAAGCTAGGCCTGTATGCCATAAAATGGTACCGCTAGCAAAGTCGTGTCATGAGTTCATCCAAGACGTACCCAAACGTCTGAAACATCAATCTTGAAAAAAGTTACAAATTAAATCGTTTCCCCAAACAACCCGGTTAAATATGTCATCCCGATAATATTTATAAAGAAGGAAGAACCATTTTTACAGAGATAAGAAAAAACAAAATTAATAAGGTTTTATAGATTTTAAGACTTTCGTGGTTATTCGCTAAATGATTATCACTAGTATCAGGTTTCTTACCACGGTATGACTTCTTTTTATTTTCCCGATATTTCGGAACGGTTGCACGCTCCATGGTCACGGGTTGGTCAACCCGTGGTTGGTGGTAAGAAACCTGATACTAGTGATAATCATTTAATAAGGTTTAATTATTATAATACCAAAAACAACAAAATCAACCAAAAGGTCCACAGTAACATAACAAAAAGTCAATAACAACGAAACGAGATCTTAACAATTATTCCAAAAAAACACCACGCAAAGCTCAAAGCTAAAAAAAACACCCGATACAATGTGTATGCACTTGTTCTGATGAAATACCTTAGAATAATAACGCATAGAATGATAGTTTCATATCAAACGAACTGTCACAAGTGAGGCAAAAATCAAATTCATGTAGGCTAGTTTTAGAAGTAGGTTAATTTTCGGTTTTAGTGAATATTTATATAAAAATACAAGTTGAAATGCGTTACTTCCTTGTGGAATGTGATGTTAGTATCTATTGTATGTTTGTCTGACGTATTTTTACACAAATTTACCACACATTTCGTCATTTTTAACTAAAGCTGTTCGCGGTGCAAGTTGACCTTGAGCACTGAAGGCCCGCCCGCTCGTGTAGGCCCTTTTGGCGCGCTTCAATTTGCCTCACTTAGCGTGTGCGGGCTAGGTTTCTATGCGTTATTATTCTAAGTGAAATCCACAATAAAAATACCGACGCGACGCATCGTGTAGCATCGCTCATAAAAGATTCGATTTATTGAGTTTATGGAGTAGATCTCTATGGATAAATATACCGTTTTACGCTTAAATTGGGGTAATTATTTCTTATCTTTATCATTTCATTTTCTATCTACATAATAAGTAAAATATTGTACCTTTAACTTAAAATTAATTACAACTGCAATTAATATTGTTTGTTTGAGGTCTATTACGACAATAAATTAACTTTTTTTGACACACCGTTGAGTAATAATGCATGCATTGTAAAAATTCAAAATGCCACAGAACCCATCACATGTGAAATGAACTTAATATCAGTACTAAGAACACTTTTGTTACCGCAGCTCTACCCTGTTAAAACAATACGTTATAAAATAAAAAACAACATTTTGAGAATACGGATTTTTCGGCTTGTTGTGATTTTTGGGGTTAATGGCGTTTAGCTTACTTTTTACATTAGATGTTCAGGAATTAATTATATCCAGCCATTATAATTGTTATAATTATTAGGGACTTGCAGTGTTTTGGTTTGGCACGATAGAGCTGACACCACATAAAGTATCTTTATACTTAGTAAACATAATAAAAATAATCTGTGTTATAATTTTATTTTATTTTTGTTTTGTTTATGATTTTGTTTTGTAAATATTTATTTTGTATTTATTGTTATTGTGTCTTTTACTGTTTTGCTTCTTTTTTCTTTTGTGTTATCATTTTCTTTCTTCTTCCATTCAATTCTATTCAATTTATAGGTATATACCTAATTATTTGCCAAATATTATGTTAACATGACTTTTGATAATAAAATATCATGTCAAGTTGTAACGTCGTCGTTAATTCTTTACTGGTGTTATTGAAGTTATTCATGAGTCGCAAAATTGCCTTACAAAGACACCCACATCACAAAGACAACCGTCTTTACATATGCTACAGGATGTCTTTTGTTCACAATAACGGATATATCTTGTATCGTCAACATTTTGAATCACATATTGTTCGTTGTTTATAAGCATGACGAACATACAGAAATAACAATTAAATTAACCTTGGTGGCCCAATGGTCTCTGAGCAAGGTCACGGGTTTGATTCCTCGGTAGGACCCCTTTGGGAATCGAACTTTTCTAGATTGTTTGTAGTTTAAGTGTCCCGAGACTATCACGAGGTACACGGTCGTCTAGCACATAGGATAATAATAAAAACGTTTGCTGAATTGTTATTAAATTAAATCCATTTTATTGTTCACGAACATGGACTTTTGACGAATTTTTCATGTATTTGTGCATAAAAATTATGATTTTCATGAATACAATACGATACAAAAACTCTTTATTGTACACCAAAAAAAGGAAACAAATCAAATACAGTTAAATTAAAAATAAGCGGTAATACAATGGGCGGTCTTATCGTTTTAAGCGATTTCTGCCAGACAACCTTTGGATGGAAGTAATTCTATAACTCACATGAAAAAGACGACGGTGTATGAAGAATTACCAATCAATAGATAGAAAAACGATAAATAAATACAAATATACATATATTTATAAATAATGAACCCAATACATATATATAAATACTTAAAAAATACTATATATACCTACACCTATAAAAATAAAATTTCTAAAACATAATTTTAAACCATAAAAATACCTAAGCAATTCAACTCACACTAAAGTTAGGTAGTGTTCTTTTACCGTATTTTTGAAAATATTCAATGATTTTGCTTGTTGAATAGACAAAGGTAAAGTGTTCCACAAACGAATAGCCTGAACAGTAAAGGACTTGTCGTAGTACTGGGAAGTATGCAAGGGCATCTTAAGCTGGTGAGTTGAAGATGAGCGCAGAAGTCGGGGGTTGGACTGATGGGCGAATTCAAATCGATCCTTAAGATAAGGTGGTGTGTGAGGAATGAATAAGATGCCATAAAGAAGATTAAGAATATGAGCATTCCGGCGAAGCCTAATGGGTAACCACTTCAGCTCCTTGCGGTAAATAGAAACACGATGAAATTTCCTCAGACCATAAATAAAACGGATGCAAAAGTTTTGTAGAAGTTCGAGCTTGTTGAGCTGTTCTTCGGTTAAATCCAGATAGCAGACATCAGCATAATCGAGAATTGGAAGAAGAAGAGTTTGGGCAAGAATGTTTTCTATGAAATTCTAATTTTAATTTCAAAACATGTGCGACTGTACCAAATTGCAGCATGAGTATAATGCGGTATTCCTACTAGATATTCTTCTAAAACAAACTACAAATAGCATTGGCTAGACACTGCAGATTAATTAATCTTATTGAAAATTCATCAAATCAAGAAAACTATATAATATTTTCATTATATTCGTGATTGCATTGCAACCTACGTGGGGTGCGATTATTGAAATATCTACTAATATAAAATCAATAATAACTACAGAACGCTTATAACTGAATTATAATAAAAGTACTTAAAATAAGAGTTATGGAATATGAAGAACAGAGCTTCATGACCATTGACTTACAAATAAATGGACGACGGGTCTAATACAAAAACCACGAAAAAAATGTCCCAAGTCAACCTATTCGAAATTTAAATTGTTATGTCATCGCAGTATCGCGCTGTCCGTAGAACAAATGAAGACTAAAGCGGAGTGTCGCGCTCTGTATACGATTTTAGCGCCTTACAAGTGCGGACACTTTTTAGCACGGACCCGACGTCCATATAATTGTAAGTCAATGTTCATGACTAATATATTTTATTCGTGTTAGCGATTCCGATAAAAGTAATTAATGTTACTTTCTTATTTCATTCACAAACCAGTTAATTAATTCTAGAAAATGTAATTATGTAAATATAGGTTTTTGTCTCTGTTGTTGCCGCCCGTTTTTTAATACAAGTTCCCATGACTTTTGTACGTATATGTAAACAATAGTAATAAATGTAAATAATTGATCCAGTCCCATGAAACAGACAATTAATTACATACGAATCAAAGACTTTAATTTCTAGTAGAGTGAACGAAGTCTTTGAACGTATAAAGTGCGCCTGTGGTTATAGATCTGGTCAGCCCTTGACAAACAATAAAGCATGCAGATTATACAAAACTGTATATAATTTTATTAAAAAATAAATACATGTTCAAAACTTGCTTATACGTACAAAGTTTTATCACCCTTAGAGGTACTATATTTTCTTCAAATTTACATGGTAGTAACGTACTCTCTTTTGAACAAAAAAGCATTATCGAAATTGGTTCACAAATGTGGGAGTAATCAGGTAACGTGCACACAAAAATACAGTCGAATTAAGAAGCTCCACCTCTTTCGAAGTCGGTTAGGGATTTAATAAAAATGCTAAAACATTCATCGAACAAATAGAACAACATGCAAGCTAAACATTAATATATATTACCTGTGAATCTATACGATACTTTCCTCTACCACCCTGATCAGGGCGGGGATTGATCGCTATAGCGGCCCGGTGGTGACCTGCCAACAACGAAAATTTATAGTCACAAGATGTGGCTACGTATAAAGTCACTACCTATAATTGAAACAATGCGTTACGTAATAGATTGTCCGCGTTAAACTTTTGTACGAAGCATAAGTACATATGCCTGGAGGAAGATTGTTAAATACCCAAATTTTTTTTAAATATCCAAAACAAAATATCTACTGGAAATAAGCAGCTTCAAAAAATAAATTCCCATGTTTTTAGAAAAAAATATTATAATCTGAACGTCAAAAGAAAGTTTCAGTAAATAGTTGTAAAAGAAAATCTAATCAGCATAGGAGCAACAAGAATACGCCAGCCGACCGTTTGCATTTCAATGAAATCAGCAATTCGTAGAAGCTGCATATGCAAGCAAGAAAGTGCTTTTACAAAATTAACGTCTTTATATATGACAAACATAAAAAACATGTATATAGAAGAAATTTTATATTAGAAATATTCTGAACGATTAGTATCCTGACAAATATTTCCCCGGAGTAAAAATGATTCCATATACCACACGACGCGAAATTATTTATTCTTTCGTCTGATCTATAAATGTTCATGTCGTTTGCACTGTCAAGCGCACAGCAAGCCTGACATTTGAATTTAAACCGTTTTTATCGCAAGCACCGTGGAGTTGAATTTAAATTAAGTGTGAATCGTTTGCACCGTGATAATTGTGGATAAAAGTTTTCGCTAGCTCAGTTAATCCGTAACTCGGAAAAGCCGTCGAAAAGTCTTATGGCGTGAAAAGCGGGCCATGAACGAGATCAGGATGATAATACCGGAAATATTCACCGAAATTCAAAGAGCAATTTTGGATAATACCTATTTAGGCTGTTATTATTTAAGTTCGTCATTTAGCATCTCACAGCTTGACTTACTCGTTTTTCCCCACATGTTCATTCGTATCCATTGTTATTCCAGTAACAATTCATTCCATACATGGCATCTCCAAACCATGTGAACTGATTGTTTAGATTAATCTACCAGATGTATGCTGTCGATCAATTATGGCGTCATTCTCAAACATGTGGCTTTACATTCAATGATTTACTTTAGCATACAGGCGTATTTAGAACAATGATGTTGAATTTGATACCATGTTTATCTTTGCTGTATAGCATATGTAACAATATACAGGGCGTCACACGGCTATACCACACGGAGGGACAATACGTTAAATACCGTAGATAGAACATTGTACTGAAAGAAGACAATTTTATAAAAATGGAAGTAAATTAATTTGCTACTCCGCGAACCCAGTGAAGGTTAAATCGTGCAAAATAGCTGCGCTTTGGTTAGAATGGCTTGTTAGAATATTTTTTCATGCACTTAATTATTCCACCCTGCCTCCGAATAAAATATATTGGGTATATTTTTGGTGATGGTTTGTGACTATAGTTGCGCTTGTGTTATTTATTTTATTAATTTTATGCGGAGGGTGGGTGGAATAATGAACTGCATGAAAAAAAAATTCAACACAAGCGCAGCTATTTTGCACGATTTAACCTTCACTGGGTTCGCGGAGTAGCAAATTAATTTACTTCCATTTTTATTAACATGGACTTCCGCAAAGTAACGCCTGAATCTATTAATTACTTAAAGACAATTTTATTTTAAAAATAATTCGAGCTGCATTAAAAGATTTTTAAATGATCGCCTGTTTGAACCGGGAACCGATCCGCCAAATGTCAAAAAAAAAAACACCTGTGATTTTACTATACTGATTGATAGTCTCAATCATCTGGACTGTTTTCTTCTAAGTAACATAGCATCTTAAATAAAAGGAAGAGCATGAAATTTAACATTCATATACCATATTCATATAACATATTCATAAAACTGGAATTTTGTTCAGGAAAATGCCTTTTCTCTGGCTTTGCCGCGCTTACTTATAACAATTGAGATTACCATTTCAAATTACTAACGAGTACAAACTTACAATTTATTATTTTAAACATTCACCATAAAAAGATAAATAAATCGACAGCAAGTGGAAATTATCAAAAGAGCGAGAATTTGTATTCTACAGAATGGGACACATTTTGAGCTTTTGATAATTTTAATGGATTGTAAGTTGCAGTTAAACGTACCTAATCATTTTAATTAATTGTTACATTTCATGGTCTTCCTTTTATTTAAGATGCTATGTTGTTCCTGTTGACATATTTATCTTTTCATGGCGAATGTTTAAAATAATAACTTGAAAGTTTGTACTCATTAGTAATTTAAAATGATAATCTCAGTTATTATGAGCGCGGGAAAGTCAGATAAAAGGCATTTTCCTGAACAAAATTTCAAATTAAATGTTTACTTTCATGGTCTTCCGTTTATTTAAGATGCTTGTTAAGTATGTATAACGCACGGAAACCGCTGTGTTGCAATCACCCTTGCAACACAGCGCAGCATAACGTGATGGACCAGTTGCAGCACGGGGCGCCGATGCAACGGAACGTGACGACAGCACATGCCACTTTCGGAAACCGAACGTGTGCCATCGTCACTTTTGATTCTAATATCGATAATTAGACACATAATTTTAGTTTAATAATGTTATTATAATTTTTATTTTAAATTAAATTTATTTCAAAGAAAGTTGCATTTTTTTGCAACTCTTGGACGCGCTTCGCTTCAGTCGGTAGGATTCTCGCGGGCCGGTTCGCGAGCGGGCATCAAACTTCTACACGTCACGTTCGCGATCTACCCGGGTAGTTACCAAGCACCGCTGCCGAGAATCCGAATCTACAAGGGAGCCACTGTCCAGGTGTGATCCAGAAATCGATCTCACAGATACCACAATGCGCATGTGAGTACTTTAGTTTCTACCTAGAGTTCCTTCCTTTCTCTGTTCTCAAATAAGATTTTCCTGCAATTTCCAAGATTTTCCATCCAAGGCAATCTCGGACCCCTAGGTTACATAATAGTAGGCGTATTAATTCTCACGACGCTTACAGAGATTTATCGATAGATAATACTAGTGAAAGAATAGTTATAACAAAGTTAGATAACGTAAAAATGACGGACGCTATTGTTGATCATATATTCAAAGCCCTTCGGTTAGTTCCCGAATTTGACGGCAACCCAAATGTGCTCACTAGGTTTATAAAACTATGTGATCAATTAGTGTATCAATATATGAAAGCTGAGCCTGGCTATGAGTTAAGTAACTTAGCCCCTCTGAACGGCATTTTAAATAAAGTTGTAGGACCTGCCGCTCGACTTATAAATTCGAACGGAATACCAGATACCTGGGAAGGCATTCAATCTGCCTTGGTCAATAACTTTGCCGACCAGCGAGATGAAACTTCGCTGTATAACGATCTCGCACTACTGAGCCAAGGGTCACTTAGCCCTCAGGTATTCTATGAGAAATGCCAAAACCTTTTTAGTACAATCATGACTTATCTCAGCCTGCATAAAACGATCGCGAGTACCATTGAGTCCAAACGTTCGTTGTATAAAAAGTTAACCCTTCAATCTTATTGGCGTGGTCTCCGCGACCCATTGGGGTCTTGTATCCGTTGCATGCGACCTGACACAATCGAAAAGGCTCTAGAATTTGTACACGAGCAAATGAATACGTTGTATCTACAGCAGCGTAATGAGCACCTTCCTGACAAAAAGACGCAGTTGCCGCATCCACAAGGTAGCACATCAAAATTTACCTATGGCTTTAGGCCTCCCATGCCATCCCCTGTCACTATGCAGCCTCCACGTCAAATGGTTATGCCTGGACCATCACATCAAATGATACAGGCTCCACAGCCCATCTGGAAACCAGATGTACCCCAGTTTAGAGTACCATCCCGGACACAGCAGATGTTTAGTGCACCTACGCCAAATATAGACCTCAGAGTAACGTATTCAAGTCAATTCCGCGAAATGAGATTGGTTTCATTGATTTCACGCCTTGTTCATTTATAAGTTTCATGATTACTTTATGGACTGATTGGACTAGACTTGTTAGAAATATGGGAATCTGATGAGGGCCTGAAAACTAAGACGTTATTGACAAAACATTCGACTAACCCATTACTGATGTACGACTCTCGTAATTGTAACTTGTATACCGGCCAACACTTCTAAAATAGTTAAAGTTCCTGTAAATTTTCATGACGGTGAAGTATTTATTCCAGAACAGCTAATATGCAACTGTATGATAGGTGACTGTGTCACTACGATGAAAAATAATCGTGGTTTTATAGAAGTTTACAACCCGACTCGACACGACGTAGTCTTTTCAATGGACCGACCCGTTAGTGCAGAATTGTTCAATGTTCAGTGCACGCGCACCGCACAACTACTGCTCGAAAGAAGTACTATCGCGATTACGCACCGACCATTTAAACCCCGAAGAGCGAGCCATTTTAGAAAGGCTTTGTTCAAACTATGCTGTTGTCTTTTATTTAGAAGGGGAATCATTGACTTTTACTAATCATATCAAACACAGCATCCGAACAACTGTCGAAATACCGGTGTACACGAAAAGTTATAAATAGCCGTTCGTTCTCAGACAAGAGGTACAGGATCAAATTTCAAAAATGTTAGAACAAGGTATAATTCGCCCCTCTCAATCAGCATGGAATTACCCAATTTGGATGGTCCCAAAGAAAGTTGACGCATCAGGGAAGACTAAATGGCGACTAGTAGTAGACTTTAGAAAACTGAATGACAAGACTATTGATGACAAATACCCCATACCAAATATAGCTGACGTATTAGACAAATTAGGTAATTGCCACCACTTTACCACCCTCGGCCTTGCCAGTGGGTTCTACTAAGTTGAGATGAACCCCGAAGACATCCCCAAAACAGGTTTCAATGTAGCACATGGCCATTACGAGTGTTTACGCATGCCCATTGTGCTTAAAAACTCACCATCCACATTCCAGCGTGTGATGGAATGTGGTCTCATTACAAGAACTTATGGCCAATTTGGAAAAGGTATTTAAAAGGCTCAGGGAATCCAACTTTAAGATCCAGATGGACAAGTCGGAAAAAAGAAACAGCCTATCTCGGACACATAATGTGCAAAGACGGTATTAAATCCAGACAAGATCAAGGCCATAAAGAAGTTTCCTATACCTAAAACCGCCACAGAAATAAAACTATTTTTAGGTTTATTAGGCTATTATCGCAAGTTTATTCCTGACTTTGCTCGTATCACGAAGCCAATGACACAGTGTCTTAAAAAGGGATCTAAGATAGCAATTAATGACGTAGCTTATACTAATTGTTTTCAGAAATGCAAGACTCTTCTGACTAATGACCTTATCTTACAGTACCCTGACTTTGACAAATAGTTTATACTGACGACCGACGCATCCAACTTTGCGATTGGTGCCGTACTATCGCAGGGACCGATAAGAAGTGACAGACCAATGTTAAACACACTGTGACAAAACCCTTCGAGACTCACACTAGAACGACTATACAACTGACTGGATCTAACTTAGAGGACGAAGTTATTAACGCAGTGAACAAGTACGTGAATCCCAAAGTAAAAACGGGAATCATGATTATACCACCCTTGGCTATGTATCAAATCATACCCATTATACAAGACAAGTTCAAAAGTTCAACAATGAACCTAGTACTGACTAAGACCGAAATAGAAAATGTTAAAGAGTATTTACGACAACAAGAAATCATTAAGAAATATCGTGAGGGTAAAACTAACCACCGTGGTATTAACGAGTGTTTCTTAGCCCTATCTCGTCGTTATTACTGGCCCAAGATGAAGGAAACAATAGCAAAATACATCAACGAATGTAGTATTTGCGGTTAAGCTAAGTACGATCGTAATCCAATAAAGCAAAAGCTATCTATAGTACCACCACCTACTAAACTATTCGAAATTCCTCACCTTGATCTCTTCACGGCCCAATCAGAAAAGTTCCTTACGTTAGTTGACGTTTTCTCCAAATACGCTCAATGATCTTAAAGATCACCCTTAAGTGTCATTCAAGCCCTTCTTACATTTTTTACTCATCATAGCGTTCCTTTGACTATTGTGACTGACCAAGGACCTGAATTTACAAACATCTTGTTTTCTGAATTCACAAGACTTCATAAGATTCAACATCATAAAATCTTGGCGCATAGACCTAATGACAACGAAATCGTGGAGCGCTTTCACTCAACCATCCTCGAACACCTTAGAATCTTAAAACTTGAAAGGAAAACCGATCCTGCAATTAATCTCATGCCTTACGCAATCTTAGCCTACAATAGCTCTATACACAGTTTTACAAAATGTCGACCCTTTGACCTTATTACAGGACACTTTGACCCATGTGACCCGATAGATATATATTTAACAGAACACTTACTTCAACAGTATTCACAGGACCACAAGAAACGTGTAAATCAAATATATGACATGATTAACGAAACCTCGTTACATGACAGGACTGTTCTGACTGAAAATAGGAATAAAGACCGCGAACCTGAAAAAGAGTATACCCCTGATCAACAAGTATTCGTACGGAACCCTATGGCAACACGACAAAAGCTCGTACCACGTTTTACACAGGACATAGTCTTAGCAGATCTTCCGATTCATATTTATACCAAAAAGAAACGTGGCCCTGTCGCTAAGTCCCTCCTTAAGCGAACTCCTAAAGATCCTGTATTGTTGCAGGATACTACTCTCCCTACTATTGCAACTGGCTCGAGGACAAGACATAACGATTGACTCATTGGAAGACAGCTCAGGCTTACTCCCATTTAAAGTGGGACCTACTAAAGTCATATCCCATTACCATTCTTTCCTAAACCACATCAATCTCAATGACATTCACTTACAAATTCAATCAGTAAAAACCGAAATACTTGAACTAGGACCTCAGTTAAATAATAAGACATTATCTCTATTTGAGCCTCATATTGACTACCTTAATACTAAACTGGAACGGATTTCTGACCAATTACAGACATTCGAACCCAGACGTAAGAAGAGAGCGCTCGTTGATGGACTTGGTTCAGTAATAAAGAGCATTTCCGGTAATTTAGATTATACTGATGCAATTAAATATGACAATGCCATCAGAGTCCTCCAGAATAATGAAAAGAAATTAGAATCTCTAATTAAAAATCATGTAAGTTTAAATAAAGAATGGATGGCACAAAATGCTAAAATTCTAACAAATATTACACAAAATCAAGAAAAATTAGCAAAACTATGCAACATGATAATGAAAAGCGATACTAATAGGGAAACTGATCTAATAAAATATGCCCATCTGGCACAGCATCTTATAATTCTAGGCGACAACGTAGACAGATTGTCCGAAGTACTCCATAAGTTAGAAAATACTCTCGCTTTCATAATGGTTTCGGGTACCCCACATTCGATATTAAATATAGCAGATTTGTAAATAATTTTAGATAAGTTAAGGATTCTTTATTCAAATAATGAAATCCCTAACGTAGAATTTAGATACTATTGTGATACAATAAAATTAGGATATTTCTATTTAGATAGTCAAATAGTATTAGTTTACAAAGTACCGATTGCCTCTCCTTTAACCTACGACCTTTATAAGCTATCCATAGTTCCTAGTAAAAATCATCAAGTCCTAATACCTACCTTACCATATATAGCAATTTCTGGGACTGATTCCATGTACATGGAGGCAGAATGCCCGAATATAAAAACATGGTATCTTTGCGAGCAGAAGGCCAACCACCAGTTTCACTCTAACTCTGATTGCACTCACCAACTGATCATCAACCAAGAAGTCCTGCCATCCTGCAAGTTCACCTCAGTCATATTAACGAGAGACGCAATGGAACAACTGGACGAGAAGCACTACACCGTGAGCTTCTCCAACCAGACTAAAGTTAAAACATCCTGCGGACAGGAGCAGTATAGAATCCTCCAAGGAAGCTACCTAATCACCATCCCACTTAACTGCTACATGAAGACGCCTAGCTTCACAATTTCTAATTCAAACGACCGCATCAAAGGACATCCGTTGAAAATCACAGAATTACCTACATATAAAGAACAAGCACATAGTAAAGATTCATCCATCATCCTGAACTCCGTCGATCTCAAAAAACTTCACTTTATTAACGAGAAGATATCTCTACAAGCTCAGACAAATTTAGACGAAATTTCAGATAGAAGCCTATACTCACTACAATTCCAGTTTATGTAATTATATTCGGTGCAGCTGTACTCGCTATCAGCCTTTCATATCGATCATTTCGGTCAAGATCTGAAAACTCGACCAAGGAATCAAACACCGTATATATTGTGAAGTAAAAGAGAAATGCCATCCGTGCGAAGTAAAAGTTGACCACAGCATCCTTTCAGCGACTCTCTCAAAAAATATTTAGACATAGTCGCTGAAGTACGAGGGGAGGTGTTAAGTATGGATAACGCACGGAAACCGCTGTATTGCAATCACCCATTATTGTGACTTTCGGCACGAGGCGCCATCGCAGCACAACGCGATGGACCAGTTGCAGCACGGGGCGCCGATGCAGCGGAACGTGACGACAGCACAAGCCACCTTCGGAAACCGGACGTGTGCCATCGTCACTTTTGATTCTAACATCGATCATTAGACACATAATTTTAGTTTAATAATTTTATTGTAATTTTTATTTTAAATTAAATTTATTTCAAAGAAAGTTACATTTTTTTTGCAACACTTGGACGCGCTTCTCTTAATTTGCTATGTTATTTTGAAGAAAACAATAACTATTGTTTTCTTCGATCAATTGAGGCTTTCGATCAGTACAGTAATATTACAGGTTTTTTTTTAATTCTAGCGGGTTCGATTCCCGGTTATCGGCAGACAGGGGATTATTTAAAAATCTTTGAATGCAGTTCGAATTGTTTTCAAAATAAAAATGAAGTCTTGTTCTAGTAAAATGTTCTACCTACGGTATTTAAGGTACTGTCCCTCCGTGTGGCATAGCCGTGGGACACACTGTGTATACTTGAGTATTACATAGCATTAATTAATCACCTTCGCATTGAGTGCCTAGAACCTATTAATAACTGTAAGAACTGACTTTGCAATTCAGCTTTAGACTTCAGTGGTGATTAAGGAGAATAACTTCCCTAAATGTCTTAGGTCCTATTTGACATAAAAGATACCTGCGTAGTAGGTTCAAGCTTGGTGGTGAATTTGGCCGGTTCCTCGGTGGCGGAGAGCATTCGACGTGCTAGCCGCGCGAATGTACAGCGGAACTGGCGGGACATGCTGCAGTATAGCACGAAGTTCACTGACGACGTGAATAACGCCAGTACATCCATAAGGTCACCTGTGTGAAATACTCCATTTAATAACTTCAAAGTAAAAGTCGTTGACAACCAAATACGAAGATCCGACAAACAAGCACATAAAAAATTTCGTGAGGTCCACTGGTTCGTTCCGTGGCTTAGTTGGCATATCGTCTAGCATGGTTTGCTAGAAGACGTCGGTTCGAACCCGGCCGGATTTAAGGAATTTTTTCGAAGTATTCGTTCTTTGTATTAATAATTATAACAAACCAGTGGAGTAATTTCACAATAAATAATTGAATGTCAATTCAATACAAATTTAACTTAAAAAGTAATTAATGACATCATCGTTATGACAATAAAATTGAATTGGTACATGCTGCTAGAAAGTGCCAAAGTGTATGCAATCTGTACTTTAATCTCAATATAATTATGTAAATCTGCATCAATCTTTTAGTCATTCCACTTATGGGTACGGGTCTTTTCTAAGGTGAGTGTTCTTAAGTTCTTAAAATTGGCACCTCCTTCAGGATCCAGTAGCAGTTGAGCAAGGAGCTAAAGAATGAAGCTGAACGGCAGTCTGTTCCTGTCGCCAAGCAGTAATGTTAAGCATTACTGCGTTCCGGTTTTGAAAGGTAAAAGTGCTGGTGTAATTACAGGCACATGAAACTTGTCAACTTATGTATCAGAGGGTCAGGCGCAGTGGCAGTGTCCCTTAGAATTTGCGATTTAAACCTCTGAGTGGCACTGCAACTGCCATGGACGGGCGCGTCGATTAGCCCCTGGTGCACGACTTACTTGGTATCATCACAAAATCTATTGTATATATATAATATTACAATGAAGATAAAATGTTAGGCTGAATGAGTTTATTTCATAACCATTTCATATTAATTTTGTGAGTGTGGCAACACTGTTTCAATGTCGTAGCGATTTTCGTAGTGCGAATATTGTAATTTCCAAAATGAAACTTATAAATAGAAAAACTAAATTTTTAATTACTAGAACACCAAACCAGAACAATTCCATTATTTGTCCCACTTCTGGGCTCGTCTAAGGAAAATATTCCTAGGTTGTTAGTGTCGTCTTACTGAAATGTCACCTCCAGAGCTATGCCCGGATACTAAAGGAATACCTAATGATTGTTAATAGTGACTGAATAATTAATAGTGTTGATTATGATTACTCAATTACGGTAGAAAGGTATGCTGTATATTTAGATTGGTACCTACTTCTAGGAATAGTTTATGTATGACAATTATAGGTAGCAAGTAAATAAGTTTTGCTTTTGATCTTTACGAAGTTGTATCTTTTACTTTCCTTTCATCTTTAGCGAAAGGTATTGCTACAAATATTCACAAATGAACGTAATTTAGAAATAATAATGTGCTAAACAACCGCACCATTAGCCTAGTCTCAAACTAGAGAAGTCACTGTACTATGAGTACCAGATTAAGTAGCAGTAGATTTGCCCTGTGAAAGAGTTCGTACAGGGAAGTGCTGCCACCTTACCTATTTCTGCCGCCAAGCAGTTAATTTAAGCATTACTGCGTTCCGGTTTTGAAGGGTGAAATTACAGGCACAGGAACTTGTCAACTAGTCTGTTTGCATTTTAAAGCTCTGCGTGGCACAGAGGTTGTCAATTATAGTCATGCAGCCTCAAGGATCCGAACCATGGACCTTTCAATTAATAATAATAATAGGGCACACACTCAACATATCCCCGCACTAAGGGAACCCTGTGTCGCGGGTGCCATGGACACACACATTGAAAAACACAAATTACACCCAAACTCACGAGAGAAATAAATGTAGGCCATATAAATATTTCTCCCGGCCCGGGAATCGAACGTGGGACCTCTCGTGGCAGTCCGGCATGGTAACCTTTCGGCCACAGAGGCAGTTAAGACTGAGAAGTAACCGTTCTCCCACAGATATTTTTCTATGTAAAATTTAATGTAAAACTACCTAGCTATTTTAGGTAGTTAACTGAGAGTAATTAAGAGCAAGTCAAAGTTTACATAATGACTGAACTTCATAATAGAGACATTGTCAGGCTTTTAAAATAAGTTTTATTATTATTTCGTCCCTTTGTTCAGCGTTAGGGAGTCATGGTAGCAAAACATCGTGATATTCAATAAACATATTATACGTATAAAGTCTATAAAGGTATTTATAAATTTCTGCAGCGTAGTCGTAAATAAATCCCACAAGACAAAACTCAATCACAGCGGATTATGATGGAATTATATAAGAAAACATAATAAGACCAGTTATAACCTTGGCCACACCTGCACTAATCTCAAGTAAGACCCTGGCAGCTCCGCATGAAGTTGAAGCGATACGTAATACGCGTACTAATAAACCTCGATTTAATTAAAAGCTCTATCTACCTATACGACCCATCGTAAAGCTAGGCAAGAAAATAATCCGCCGTCAACATGCTACGGTCGAATGGATAAACCAAAGTTTAATTTAGTGGAAAATGTTTCGCTGTTTTTGTAGAGCTATATTTAAAAACATTACACTTGAGCGTATGTGACGCAGAAAGTAACGCATATATTATTACTTAATAAGAAGCCCACATCGTTTGTGCTCGTAGAAGTTTGAAAACAATTATTGAACATCGTTACGCTGTGTTTCAATGGAACTTTTGAGTGAGATATTTTACGTTTTAGGCTCGAATTTTTGTAACGACGTTGTACATAGCATATTGCACTTTATGGTCAATTGTGTAAAATGCGCGAACATTCTAGAGCGTGCGCGAGATCTTTAACACGATTATATTATTACAGTAACTTTGCAGCATACAAGGTTGATCTCTATTGACATGTTTTTTTTCTGTAATCCACTGACTTGTTTTATTCATGCAGCTGTTTTTAAATGAAAATAGATACTGAAACGAATTTTTCCGTAACCTTAATTTCAATATTTATTGCGGTCTTATCTTATTTATCAGTAACTCTAAGGCTTAATTTATATTGCGGCGGAAAGAAATGGAAGCAAATTTTTGTAACATAGCATAATTAACTATATGAACAATTTTGTAACGTACAAACTAGATACGAGCCAAAATCCTCCGCGGAAAGCGTGAGCATGCGCTACACTGCAAAAATTCGCTTCCATTCCGTTCCGCCGCAATATAAATTGAGCTTTAAAGTCATAGCGTTGCTACGACGCAGCTCCCCGGCAGCGCTTGTTTGGCTTCGCTCTAATACTGTGTAATTCAGCAAATGAACTGTAGTCCCTTGTGTCAGTATTTAGGAACACATATGTTTTATTTTATTGGGCTCATTTACTATGAGTATCGTGTGGTGAACGAAAGGAGACGTAGTATTCCTTGCCTGTACATCTGGCGCACCCTGGGCTACCAATCGGTGAGTTTACGCTAATTGGCAAATATTTTCTTCATCATGATGGCAAGCATCTCATCAAATGTAGGTTTAAGGGTGTGATGTATATATGTTTTTGTAATATTCTTAGTGTTTAAAATAAAAAAAAATAAAAATAAATAAAATATACACCATAGTGTATATTTGTCGTATCCTGGGCTGTGAGACATAAATAAGCAAAGAAGTGGGCGATGCGATTGCGAGGGCAACGTTACATAAAAGATGGTTTGAAGTATATATGTATATATATATATATATATATATATATATATATATATATATATGTGTTGATCAATAATCATATATATAAATAAAAATAAAAATATATATATATGATTATTGATCAACATATATATATGATTCGTGCCTATTTTTCACGAGACAACCGCATCATCAATCTATTATTATCGATATTGGTTTGAAAATGTTTTCCTTACTGAAAGTGCATTCCACAAGCTTCAAACAGTTGGCAGTGTGTTTATAAACTATTAGCAATGAAAATTAATATCGATCAATAGGAATATTAGTATACGATATTGTACGCATTTTTCTTCTACATTACAGGAATGCTTTTAGAAACCTATCAAATCCAACTTAAACCTTTTGCGCGATCGTTGCTGAGGTACTTTCTAGAAGGATAATAAATTTCTAAGACACAGACGTCAGGCGACAGACAAAAACACTAGGGTGGTCACAACTGGTCGATATACCTTGCTCACGAAATATGGACGATTCCTCATAAATTAGAAAGGGACTGTGGCGGACAATAACTTAAGGCGCCCACTGTTTGTAGATAAAAAATTGTTGTACGTAATCCTAAATTTACCATTATAATCATTGCCTACAACTAATTAAAAGTATTTATAGGGTAAAGTAATGTACTTCTAGCACCGTAGCCGGGGGATGACGTTTTGTGTTTCAAAGCACACCCGTTAAAAATAGGCCCGGCTGTATACGTATCAACCTATAAATAAACTAATTTATTTACAAAAAATTGATACGATTCCACAGCGAAAGCACGTGTAATCAGAAGTCACGGTAGCTGACAGCTCTATTTATTAAAAAGTAGCTGATGTATTCATTCATTCAAGACCTCTCATTAGAATGCTTTCTACCTTCAGATTTATAAAATAAGAACGGTACTCTTTTCAAACCCGTCTTCAGTTCTTTTGTAAATTTTATGAATATTAAAATTCCATTTTCGTGAGGCCTCCATTACTGGCAAACAAACACTCATCTGCATTTTCGTTCGTGTTTTAATGGAACCATTCAATAGTGTGTAGAGACTTTTGGTTTTTTTCCTGATAATAATATCTATTTAGTCTTTATATTTTTATCAGGTAAATGGTTACTGAGCTGTTTTTAAAAGTTGTAAAACAGTAACACGTCTTTATTATGAGAGTTTGTTTGTAGTGAAAATACATCTAACAAGCTATTTTTTGACATGATTAGGGTAAGTGTATTAATGGTCCAACTAATATTTAGATTGGCAAGTGCCTCTTTAGAGCAAAGTAATTAACTAAAAAGTACGGGCGATTTTCGCCACTAGCTAACTTTAAACAAAAAAAGCTCTTTTCTTTTAAAGTTAATGTCTACGGTTTTAAAATAATACTTTAGGGCGCATTTTAAGAATAAGCGAGAAAGTTTTAGGGTGCCTTTAAATTAGACACTGATAGATGAGCTGGTGTGGCTGAAGTGGCGCGTCTGTGGCGCTGCAGCTGCACTTCTAATAATTGTACGAAATCGGTAGTTCCACAACCACCACTCATAGATAAACTTCATAAAAAAGACTGGTAAATCCAGCCCAGAACTGGTAAATCGTAAACATGTCGTATGTCATCATGATAATGCCAAACCACACACATCTTTACAAAGCTGTCACGACCGTACTCACCCGTATTCGCTCCTTCAGATTTTTGTTTCGGTCCTTAAAAAATCTTTGAATGGGCACATCTTTGATAACGAAGACACATAATAATATGACATCTAGAGCTGTATTTTATAAAGACTGGAAATTTTATAAAAGGGGAATTTTCAAATGGCAAGAGGTTGTAAGTCATCATAGCCAATAAATGATTGAACAAAGCTTGATATTTATTTATTTAAAGAGTTTTCATTTATATGTTGACACTACGCAGACTTTTTGGCCAACCCAATATTTAAATAGCACGAACCGAAGCATAATAACGCACATATAAACTTTATATATATTTTATCTCTATAGGTATACACCTATAGAGATAAAATTAGCAAAAATATATATGAAAGTATATAAAAAATTAAATTAAAAAAAATACAGAAAACACACTGTGAGATTGTTTGCAAAACGAGAACGTATGAAACTTTATTCCCGGGATCAATTTGCAAAGCACTTTAACACGAGATTTATGTATTACTCTACAAGGTTTTACAAGCAGAGTTAATAGTTTTTGTACGACATAGCTGTTTTATGGAGTCATCATCGTAAAGGTTACGATCTCCAATAGCAAAGCCACCCGCTTTATATTTCTATATACTCCAGCCCCCGTACTATGCCGCCTCGAAAAAGCTATTATATCGACATTTATATGGCAAGCGAGAAAAATGTGACGTCTCAGTGACGTCACATTTTTATGTCATCGCGAGCGCCGGCGACCAATGACTGCAAAAGATTAACACAGTGCCAAACATGGCTGCAAGGTCACAGCTGATTTTAAAACATTTGTACAGTAAATTTATCAACGTAAAAATGGAGCGCGACAAACGAGGTGAAAAGACATTTTTTGTTTCATGGTTTTCGCGGCGATGAATAAACGACAAACGTAGCTATATACGTAATTTTATATTGTTTTCCTTGTTCTTCAAAATGTATAACAATAGTTCATTACCAAATAAGTAAACTTAGATTTATCAACTGAATTAAATATTGTCCCGGGGAGGTTTATCACACATATTCTGCCATGCTACGGCCATTAAAACATATTTTAATGTCATATAGGGGTGCTTTACCACAGGTAAGGCAAGACGATGATTAAAATTTATTAAGTTCTTTATTATTTTGAAGATTTACTGCAAATTTTTATCAATAAATATATGTTAAGTAACTGGTGACAGTGCAAATTACAAATTACCACAAGTAGCAAAATTCGAATTCTCTCCTAGCGCATTTTCAGTGGAAATGGTCTGAATTGACAAGGATTGACAAAACGTCTATCCAAATATTTATTCATATAATATTGAAACGTATTGCTGCCCATGTAAAGTGTTTGTACTCAGCGACGTAAGCGCAATTCACGCGATGTCTTGCGAGTGCTTGCGAAGGCTTATACGGGCAAGTTAATATCAATCGCGAGATTGTAGGGTACGTGAGATATAAGTTTTTTTTTAAATTGAAATGTATCAACCAAGTAATTTACTGTATTGATATTTTATATTTTTATTTTATCATCATATGTTTATTGATGTAGCTTTTATCATGACAAACTGAATAGCAGTGCATCTTCATTATCCACAATCTCAGCGCTTACTTGCGGTGGCTATTAATATCAATCGCGAGCTCGCGATAGCCAGGCCGGCGAGATTTCAATTCTCGTCTCATCTCGTCGGTGGAAAAACACCTGCCTTAACAACTATCACGTTTTGTAACACGCAAGAAAGGAGATATCAACAATGAGCTATAACTCAACCACCGGATAAGCCAAGAGGCACCGGCCGTTACCGGAACTGGCACGTTATATAATTATATAGGTACTTTATATAAAATAGGCATTATCCTGTTGAGGTGAAGAGGTCGACCATTGGATCTTAAGTGTTTTGGGTACTGTACCGTACCCAAGTCAACTACCTCACTCCGACCCCTGTTACTTGAAGGAAAGGACTATTAAGGCTTACCTATCGTAATATTGTCTCCATCAGTGGTTGTAAGGTAATTGGTGCATCACCCCTTCATGTAGACAATGTAAGGGCTTATGAGGGCGAAGCAACAATAATACACTTAGTTTGTTATTTTACCAAACATTCCATAGCAGTTCTTGAAGAAGTCTGGTGCTAGTGCGCTAGCGAGCCCGAGGAGGCCCTGGGGCACTTCGGTAGAGAGGAAGAGTCCAAGAACTGCAAGTAGCATGCGCGTTGTACGATCTGTCCGACTGGCTCGACGCGCAGACGATTCTTCTGCAAGACATTGTTTCTCGGCCTGTGAAAATTTTGAAGTTGTTTTAATTTCATTTTTGTATTTTTTTAAAATAACTAAATAATTAAAACTAAATTTTAAAAGTAGATAACCGTTTTCCCGTGTTATTGGTGTTTAATGTACAGACAACGGCACATCAGACTACACATTTTTGTTCGAAAATCGCCTCCAGTACCACGGAACAAGATACGTCAAGGTGTAGCTTGATGTGCGCGTGTACATAAAATAATATAGAATAGAGAAAAGCATTACAAAATACCTTAGCCCCACAATAACATACTCTTACACACACGGATACAATAAATACCCATGTCAACATTAATTCTAATTTATAAGTTCGCAGAGCACTTTCACATACATCTAAATGAAACAAAGGAGTGCGGCGATAACTCTTCTATAACATTTCTAATAGAACTTTGTAACAGATTAATTTTATTAAATTTTACACGGAGGTTAATGGGGAATGATTATAATTTTATTTAATAACATTATTTATGACATTGTTTCAATATTATGTCTACACAACTACGAAAAACAAAAGAAACTAAAAAGTTCGTCGCCAAAGGAGCACACTTTATACGCCTCAAAACTATTATATCTATAAACAGTCTTATTATGGTATAGGTTTAGATAATAGTTCTCTATAAATGGTTTTAGAAAAAAATTGGTCTTATAGACTTATTTCACTCAAATCAAAATTTTAAAAACTTCTTAATACCGAACAACTTAATTAAGTGTGATCTCTCTTAAGATTTACTCTTATAGTTCTTATTTTAAGTTCAAATATAGATTAACTGATTATTTTCAGTAAAATTATTCTGTACACATTCAGTAAAGTCTATTAATACTCTAAAACCAGTGCTCTTAAGTTTATTCTAGATATATTTCATTTACAGACATTCTGTAGTGTATGCTAATTGACAAACACGTTATAGCGCGTCTTCAGTATTTTTTTTTTTAAATACTATAATTAGGGTTTTTACTCTATTGGACGTTGTAAGAGTTCATGCAAAATGCATAAAGTAAAGAATATTAAAAGATCTAATGAGGATGGTGAACCTTGGATATTATGTCACATCATTCGATACATCAGTCGGTAATTCGCGCGCGAGCCGCGAAGTGATAAAAACAATTGAAATGAGCGCGTAACCTACTGTACTTTAATGTTATGTATGTGTATTGTGCCGTCTATCAATTGAATACAGTGAAATCATTGTGTGAAATGTGGTTGACGTGAAGAAATAACCTCAATTTTGTAATGAAAATTTTATTTCTTCCAACATAAGTTAGGTATGTCGTTGAAATATACTTTATCTGATAGGGAATTTATCCACCTTTCTAGTCATATATAACATATTCCATATAATTATACAGAATAACGTTTTTTTGCGACAAATTGGACTTTTTAAATTGTTTTTTTTTTACTTTGTGTTTGAAATATATTGTGTTTTGAAAGTTTTTATTGCATATTACGCCCACCATTCATATAATTTTACTCAATAAAAAGGTTTTGCAATACTCTCAAATTTTAAAGTATAAGGTGATGGTACAGTTTGAATATTTAATTTTTAAAGACGTGTTGGCTACAACTTTCTAATGGGTCGATATACTTTATAGGTACGATACGCTACATTTTAATGAATATATACACAAAAAATAAATTCAGTCCGTAAAAGCTTTTACTCGTTTTGGTTACGTTTCTTTATGTTAACAAATCGTAACAATTTACAGTTTCAATCGGATCACTGGCGTTTTTTTTTTGGATTTATTTGCCTTTACGTTAAATTGGATGGATATTGGATAATTCTGCAGTGTAAAGATTAAAGCTAAACAGAAATACATAGACAAAAAATATGACAAAATAAATTGGTATACTTATAATTTGATACAATTCAAAATTATAAATGAAAAACCATTCACAGATAATCTAGACTATTAGATGACAAAATATGCTTTATGGTAGGGGAAGAGGGAATTCAATGGAAATGAGGACATGGAACGAAAAAAAAATCATTTAAAGTCCAGTTGAGTAATGTTAGCGTAACGAATACAAATTAGAACTTGTATCGATTATTGTCATACCTTAAACGTAATCGATTCGAACTTTTTATTATAATTGAAAGGTTTTTCATATTAATTATATATATTTTTTTAAGTACGTCTAAATTAATGCCTGGCTGATGTCATTTATGTATGTCAGTTTAGCAATAATATTTAAAAGTATCTAAATCCCTTTCTAAAAGAAATGCCAATCAATCAAGCATCGGTCTACCAAAAGCGTTAATGAAATCGCAGTCTGTTAACCTACCAAAACGGTGGTGGGGCGAAGCTTGATGGTATGGTCACAAAAGAAGATTTATGCAGTCTGTGTTCAAATTTCTTAGACAAAGGTAATATTGTGAATACTGTGGGTGCCGTATATAAGTTGTTAATTTATACAGGTATGTACTGTCGTCTTTTTATTATGTAATTTAGTAACGAACTATCATGTATATTACTTGCTTAAAAGGAAATAAATGATTGAAAGTGAATTGTATTAAACTGTTTCCTTTCGTGCCTTAGTGTTACCTTACTTACCCAAGTCTTTACTTGAGAATTTGCTAACAGTAAGAATCACCTACATATATTGCCATACTCACAAAGATCACTGTCTATAATTTTAAAGGATCCCTTTGTACGGATGCTAACTGCCAAAATTCCTCCCAGATTCCTGAGAGAAATCGTGGCCAGGCCAGAAAAACACACATGCCCCGTCTCATGCGAATCAGTGCACTTGTGGCGGACTTTTCAAACTTTATTTTGGAAAACCAAGACAAACAGTCCAAACCCTTCTCGGGAATTCTAGAGGGAAATCGCGGGCGATACACTAAAATCATGACAATAATTAGTGATAAATGCAATATCCTCGCAATCAATCCTCACACAACTTGGCGTTTGGAATAAACTCTACAGATTTTAACAGACCAAAGTACTCTCCAGTGAAAACAGAAGTTGCAGGTGGTAATTTAATCTTTTGGACTATTTTACATTGCTGATGATAGATTCCCGCACCCTTTAATAAGAGAGTGTTTTAATGCATCACTAAACAAACAATGCCAACCATCAAGATCACGCTCAGTAATCAAGCATAAATATTGAGAAACATCACAATAACTTCTTTTATTCTTAAATTTAAACGAACATCTTGTCTTGAAGTTAGAGTGAGAGAAATTGGCGTAGACGGCAGTGGCTAGGTGTGAAAATTGTCGTTAGTAAGGCCGGAGCAAAACCAAAAGCACTTAACAAACTTCTTTTCCTGTTAAAAAGGCGTCTTGGCAACACTAGCATATAAATTACTACATATTTATAGTTTATATAGTTATTATTTTGCACTATTGAATTCAATGCCAAATGTAGTGAATTACTAAAAATTTAAAAACAATCTTTCGATACACGACGGTGAAGCACATTTTGCAGTTTTAATTTTTAATTGCACCTACTAATTATAATAACACGAATGCACATGTCTGTGTACTAACATCTGCGTTCTTTACGTATGTCTGAGTACATTTTTCGTCGCAACAAATGTATCGAACGCGTTAGCGTTAAAGCCGTAATTACAGCAACAGAATTCGGGAGTGTATTTTTCCGTCATAAATACAGAACAATTCGTTTTCAAAACCACGACACAGCGTAAAACGTTTCGAAAGGTATTACAAGGGCTTTTGCAAGTGTATGTTCGAAATTTCACTTTCAAAAGAATTAACTAACCCAAATTCTGTATTTGTCTCTTGACGTTTGGCTTGCGAGAGTATGCGTTTACGCGTAAATTTGTTATTTTTATAATATAAGGTTTAGTACGAAATTACTTTAATTTTTAAAATCACTTCATATTTGAAGTATTAGAAAAATCATTAAATAATTATAGACCTACAAACAAACCATTTATGGTTAAACTCCTTCTATAAGCTTAATTCTAAAATCAAGCCACCAACACCAGTAAGAATAGGTCAAGTTGAGTGAATTTATGACATAATAAAAGAACTAAAAAAAAATTAGCTTCAATACCTAATATCCATAATTTTGAATTACATATGCGTACCTACCTTATTGCACCTTTCAGTAATGTTATTGTCGCCTGCTGGTTCAGCATTAGCATAATCTCGAGCGTTTTAGTGGGTTTATTAAATTCCCCATATCCATAAACATAAACACAAAAATATTTAGATATTACAATACTGTTTAAGTCTTTAATTGCTTGCAGTGACATTAGTCACTGCAAGTTTTTTATTTGAAGACCAACTCGCTCACAACACTCACTGTTTTATGAAATTAACCAACATTTGAAACTACGTCCCATTTCTTTTCATTTTAATTACAATACAATCACAAATTTCAAGGCAACAAATTCGTAATCGTAATAATTAAATACGCGGGCATCAGACTCCAACAATATCAAGCGTTTCGAGATCTTATCTCTTTTATTCTCGCGAGTACAAATGAAATATAAATATGTTCTTTCATAAAAATTATTACCCAAATAAATTGAATTAAGCACAAAAGCAAACATAAAATCATATTTCTAATTTAGTTGTATTAATATCATAACTGGCAACTTACAGGAATTAACTTTAAGTTTTTTCCTGTAAGTTGGCGATTGTCGCCAAACCCATAGGGGCGAAACAAACCGTATAAGAATGGAAATAAGTTTTATTTTTACGCGAACGCTATTCGATGATAACCCAATAACGATAATGTTCGGGTTGTGGGCCGCCATTAATTAGGTCGTCTTCCACTATGTTTTTTGCAAATGTGTGCGTGTATACTGATGTGAGCGAATTGATTTCCTGAATGAAATAAATGCCGGGACTATGGCGGCTTATTCGTGCTGTCATTGCTTAAGATCCACCGGGAAGGCTGCAATACGTCGTATTATGAAGGACTTTACGCACGCGTTTATTAATGAATTATTTGGAATGTACGTTTTTTAAGTGGTGGACTATGCGCCCTGTCTTATGAATATA